CACAATTTTTGTCCAGTCTCTTCCTGCATCCCCCACACCCCTTTCTCCTCCAAGAATAGTCAGTCCACTCCCTTTCTATGCCCCTGATTCTATTATAATCACCAGTTTATTCTGTTTTGAGGGTTTTTTTTATGCTAAGGTGATTCTGGAGAACACACATTCTAATGATGTTCCCTACAAGTTGAAGAAGGGCTGCCAGACCCACATTGAACTTCATGTGAGCAAGAGATAAGTCTTTACTGGGTTAGGCCACTCGTTTAAGGTTCTATGACTGCAGCTTAGCTTATTTTATCCCCAGTCTAGGTAGTTCAGAACAGAACATTTAAGTATGTGTTTGGAGTTCTGAGACTCAAGATATCCAAGTTTGATTTTGACACTGTGTGGTATATGCAAGACATATAGTATCCTTGCATTTTCTCCTCCTCATCTGGAAATTGAAGGATTTAAATTAGATGATCTTGAAGGGACAGCGTCTGGATAGCAGCATTTAAGTATAGATTTTTAGTTGAATAGGAAAAGGAGACTAGGTCTAACATTAAACGTATCCTTGGGAAACTGATTTTTATGTACTTGTTTTTATTTACGAAGGAATTATATGCCTTTTGCTGTTAAATAAGAAGTTACATAGGGAAAATGGAAATGAAAGATGAAGTATGTCACATACCATATGTGTTTTAGTATATTCAGAGTTGTGCACCCATCACCACTATCCAACTTCAGAATCTTATCATCACCTCCCATAAAGAAATCCATTAACAGTTACTCCACAAATCTACTTTCTGTTTCTGTCTATTCTGGACATTTCATGTCAGTGGGATCATATCATATATGTGACTTCATGTGTCTGGCTTCTTAAGAATAGAATTACTTGCCCTGCCTGTTAGGTCAGTTGTTTATATGCCAAAGTTTCTTGTTCGATCCCCTGTCAGGACACATACAAGGAGCAACCAATGAATGTGTAAACAAGTGGAACAACAAATCTCTCTCTTTTTCCTCCCTCCATCCCTCCCCCTTGCTTGCTTGATCTCTCTTAAAAAAAAAAAAGTTAAAATAAAGAGTAGAATTGCTTGATCATATGGCATTTCTCTGTTTAACATTTTGAGGAACTGCCAGACTGCTTTTCACAGTGGCAGCATCATTTTGCATTCCCACCAGCAATATATGAAGGTTCCATTTTTTCCTATATTCTCGCCTAAACTTATCTTCTGTTTTGTTTTTATTGTAGTCATTCTAATGTTGTGTGAAATGGTGTCTTATTGTAGTTTTGATTTGTATTTCCCTAATGACTAATTGTGTTGAGCATTTTTTCATTTGCTTATCGGACAGTTTTATATGTTTGAAGAAATGTCTATTCAAATCCTTTGTCCATCTTTTAATTGGGTGTTTGTAATTTTATTGTTCAATTTTAAGAGTTCTTTATATATTCTGGATACTAGATGCTTAACAGATATATGATTTTAAGATATTTTTTTACCATTCTGTGGGTTGTCTGTTTACCTTGATAGTGAATAACCTTCCTATATAATAAAGAGCTAATATGCAAATGGTCATCGCAGCCTCACGCCATCACACAGTAACGGCTCAGACACTCAACACTGGGGAGAGAGGAATGGGGACCAGCCAGGCACAAATGAGCTTGCGAGAGAGGAATGGGGACCAGCCAGGCTACAACCCAGGAGAGGGATAAGCCACCCTCCCTGCAGTCCCGGGCACCAGTGGCTGCACCTGCTTCTGCAGCCAGGAGAGGGACAAGCTGCCTGCCCTGCGGTCCCGGGCCGGCTGGGGCTGTGGCCTGGGAGAGGGACAAGCTGTCTGTCCCGTGGTCCCGGGTGCCTGCGGCCCAGGCAAATCCACCTGCCCACAATCCCCTGTGGCTGCAGCTGGCCTGGGCAAAGCTGGCCTGAGTCCTGGGTGCCTGCAACCGTCCGGAGGAGGGAATCCTGGGTCTCAGGTGTGGGGCGAGGCAGAGTCGTTTAGGGTCTGCCGGGCTGAGGGACACCAACCCCACCCCCACCCCCACCCTACCGCTCCGGTGCACAAATTTCGTGCACTGGGCCTCTAGTTGATGTATAAGCATTTTTAATTTTTATGAAATCCAATTTATTTTTTCTTGTATTGTTTGTGCTTTAGATATCATGTCTAAGAAACCATTGCCTACTCAAAAATTTACCTGTTTTTTTTCCTAAGAGTTTACAGTTATAATGCTTATATTTAGGTTTTAGATTCATTTTGAGTTAATTTTTTGAATATATTTTATTGATTTTTTACAGAGAGGAAGGGAGAGGGATAGAAAGTTAGAAACATCGATGAGAGAGAGACATCAATCAGCTGCCTCTTGCACGCCCCCTACTGGGGATGTGCCCGCAACCCAGGTACATGCCCTTGACTGGAATCGAACCTGGGACCCTTCAGTCCACAGGCCGACGCTTTATCCACTGAGCCAAACCAGTTAGGGCTTGAGTTAATTTTTATAAGATAGAGGTCCATATTCATTATTTTGCAAGTGGATATCTAGTCCCAGCACCATTTATTGAAAAAAACTATTCTTTTCCAGTTGAATGGTGTTGGCACCCTTGCCTAAAATCAGTTGACATTAGATATTGAGTTTATTCTAAACTCTCAATTCTAAAAGTCACAAGGAGATTCTTTGCTTCACTGCGTTGCCTTTGTCAACGATCAGTTGACTATATTTATGGTGTTCTATTTATTGCTCTACAGATCTGTCTACTCCCCCCCCCCCCCACTATCTTGATTACTATAGCTTTAAGTAGGTTTTTAATCAGGACATGTAAGTCCTCTAAAATATTTTTTCAATATTTGACCATCTTGGGTCTTTTGTATTTTCATGATTTTAGGGTTAGTTTGCCCATTTCTATTTAAAAAGTTCAAATTTTTTAAATTATTGCATTGAATTTGTAGATGAATTTGGTGAAGTAGTATATTTTTAAGCATTACAAGTTTCATTTAAATAAATCTTGGGCCCTAACCAGTTTGGCTCAGTGGATAGAGAGTCGGCCTGTGGACTGAGGGGTCCCAGGTTCGATTCCAGACAAGGGCATGTACCTTGGTTGCGGGCACATCCCCAGTAGTGGGTGTGTAGGAGGCAGCTGATCGATGTTTCTCTCTCATCGATGTTTCTAACTCTCTATCTCTCTCACTTCCTCTGTTAAAAAAAATCAATAAAATATATTAAATAGATCTTGGAAATGTGTAACATAAAAAAAGAAGTTTATGATGCTTTTTTGAAAATTAGATAAGTATATTGTTCTTACTTGGCCTCTAGGACCATCTGGCAGAGTAATGGGGTGGGCTTTCAGAGCCAGAGGCACTAATGTACAACACAGAACAAAGAAGGGTTGTTCAGGGCTCCCTGTGGCCAACTCAAGACGATGGTTTCTCCTTCACAGACCACTCAGTGTTCATGTGAACAGCCGTCCTCCTTCAGCATTCCTCTGGAGCACTTCTATTGTACATCAGGGTTTATAAAGCCACATTGATTATAATGGAGCCCTTGGGTAGAGATAGATATTATGGCTTTATTGCCATGAATTGAAAGAACACTTGGGAGCATATTTCTTACAAGTAGCTGTTTGATATATTGTTTCCTGAAAAGTTTATGAGACTTTAAGAGTGAAGATTATCTTGAACACAGAGTTACAGTTGGTGGCTAGTTTAGTTTAATAGACATGCTAGCTGGGTTAAGGTTGCTATACTTTTATTGATTTCAAAAGGAGAAGATTTCAGAGAGAGAGATAGAAGCATCAGTGATGAGAGGGAATCATTGATTGGCTGCCTCTTGCACACCTCTCACTGGGGATCGAGCCCACAACATGGGCATGTGCCCTGACGGTGAATCAAACCATGACCTCCTGGTTCATAGGTCGACACTCAACCACTGAGCAACACTGGCCAGCCTAGGGTTGCTATACTTTTAGAGTATATGTTTGTATCCATAGCACTTTTCTCATCTTTTGTTGTTTAACTTACCTTTCTAAGTTCCTTATGCCATCACAGAACTATAAAGGAGTCATGGTATATTGGCCATAATGAGCAACAAAGTATGGCTTGTATTTATTTTTATCTACAAAATAAAGAAACTAGAAAGAAAGAAAAACCTAGTTATCAATAAGTAGACCAAACTATATGGAGACATCATACAAGTTGGAAGTTTAATACAGACTAAATATATTTGAACTATTGTTTGAGAGAACAGATAGTTCAGGCAAGTATGAATCCTGCTGTTAGCTGTGTGGGAATTACACTACTGATACACTAGGTATCGGTAACTACAACCAGAAATGTCCAGACATTGTTATTTGAACCTATCCAAGCCAGGGGTTCTGCAGAAGTTTCCCTTTGAACATCTGGAGGAAAAATTGGTGCCTGAGTGAGGATGAGAAGAATCCTATCTGCAAACCTCCTGCCAGCCACTCACTTCTCCAGGCTCTGTCTTTCTGTATGCTGCACTTTGGGTCAGCAGGGTATGGTGATTAGACCCTGTGCCGGCCTGCTTCAGGGCCTTTGCTATGCAGGTCCTTCACCTGATTAGCCCCACATAGCCCTTTTGCACTTGTCACAACATATCCTATAATCAAGGCCTACATCAAAGTAACATTTTCTTCATAACAGCCTTCCTGATTTCTCTCAGTCTTTGCTCATCACTCCCTTTCCCAAATCCCCTTAAAGTTTTATGGGTGCTGTACTTGTCAACATGAATTCAGGCCCTGCTCGATGGATCAGTTACTAGCCTTAGCTTTGGGGCTGTTGATGTGGAATCAAACTTTGGTTGCATTATTTTGTACTACAACTCAAGGAATTTTCTAGCAATCATGTCATAGTTCAAATCTCACTGTTGTGCCTAGTTTTGTAAGGTTCAAAATATGAGTTCTTATGCATTTGTAGTCCACCTTTGTGGATAATAGCATTTCAGAAGTTATTGTTCCAGAATTACTCATTGTCCTGTAACTTTCCTAACGTAATCTTATTTTTCCTCCTTACAGGAAATGACTTAGAGGCCTTACAATTACATCTGTGCATTCTTGCTTTGGACATTACAATTGAGGGCCAACCCAGTCTGGAAGCACCTCTTATTAATGTTACAAGGAAACGGCTACCTCAACAAACAAAAGGAAAGAAGACTTGTAATAACAAATGCCATTTTTTAAAAAACAAAAACTTGTTTTCAGAAAATATTAAAGAAAATTTGGAATTTTTTTGCATTCAAAAGAAGCTTTACAGGTAAATGGATTTGTCAGGCAGGCTCTGTCAAAATTCTGCAGGGATTTGATCTTCCTTCCTAAGGACTTGAAGTAATTCTGTATTGCTTTTTAAATTGCTGTTGATCAGCTTGTAGGTTTTTGGGTTCTAACTTTTCTGGTATATTAAAGATACATTATTATATTACATTTTTTAAAGTTATTTTTCTGCCATTGTAAATACAAGTATCAAAATATTCTTGCAGAGTAATTATAGGTGAGCATTTTTCTCAAGCATATCTTTTTATTAAGAGAGTGGAATGCTAACAGTTCTTATACAGCATTTTGGACACACTTATTTTTTGTCAGAGGTCCTGCCTATACTGAAAATATTAATTATATAAACCTGTTGTCCTTCTCACATCTATATTGGATCCCATGGTCACTTGCCTCATAGAAATGCCTTTTTTAAATCTTATATTTTCAGAACTCCACTATTTTTATACCTAGCTACAGTTTTGGGGGATAAAAGACTCAGAACCCTGACTTGCTCACAGTCACTGGGACAGTTCCCTCTCCCGCATGTATTGCTGCAGTGCCCAGGACAGTAAAATGGACTACAAGCGGCGCTTCCTGCTTGGCGGGTCCAAGCAGAAGGTGCAACAGCACCAGCAATACCCGATGCCTGAGCTGGGCCGAGCACTAAGTGCTCCCCTGGCATCTACAGCCACCACTGCCCCCCTGGGCAGTCTGACCGCTGCAGGCAGCTGCCATCATGCCATGCCCCACTCCACTCCCATTGCCGACATCCAGCAGGGCATCTCCAAGTACCTGGATGCCCTCAATGTCTTCTGCCGTGCCAGTACTTTCCTCACAGATCTCTTCAGCACTGTGTTCAGGAACTCTCACTACTCCAAGGCAGCCATGCAACTCAAAGATGTGCAGGAGCATGTCATGGAAGCAGCCAGTCGGCTGACTTCAGCCATAAAGCCCGAGATCGCCAAGATGCTGATGGAACTTAGTGCTGGGGCTGCAAACTTTACAGATCAGAAGGAATTCAGTCTCCAGGACATTGAGGTAGTGTATCTTCTGTGTCATAACTGGGTAGGAAAATGTATTTCAGAGGTAAGTGAGAATGTGGTCTTAGTTTTCCTCCAAATCATCGTAAGTAATGATGGTCTTCATCCTCTCTTTTTTCTTTTAATTTTTGTTGTTGTTGGTAATCCTCACCTGAGGATATTTTTCCATTGATTTTTAGAGAGTGGAAGGTAGAGGGAGAGACCAAGAGAGAAACATCGACATGAGAGAGATACATCTGTTGATTACCTCCCATGTGCCCAACCAGAGCCGGGGATTGAGCCTGGAACCCAGGTACATGCCCTTGATCAGAATAGAACCTGGGACCTTTCAGTCTGAGGGCTTATACTCTATCCACTGAGCCAAGCAGACGAAGGCCCCTCCCACCCTCCCTCCCTTCCTTTCTTTTTAAATATGTTTTTTATTGATTTTAGAGAGAGAGGAAGGGATTTATGAGAGAGAAACACATCTCTCTCTTTTTTTTAATTTTTTATTACAAAGGGTATTACATATGTGTCCATTTTTTTTCCCCCGCCCTAGACAGTCCCCTAGCCTCCCTTATCCCCCAGTGTCTTATGTCCATTGGTTATGCTTATATGCATGCATACAAGTCCTTTGGTTGATCTCTTACCCCCCAGAAACACATCTCTTAGTTGCCTCCTGCACGCTCCCTACTGGGAATTGAGCCTACAACTAGGCATGTGCCCTGACTGGGAATTGAACTGGTAACCTCTTGATTAATGGGTTGATGCTCAACCACTGAGCCAAACCGACTGGGTCTCTTTGTTTTAAAAAAACCCATATATATACATAGTATTGATTTCAGAAATGAAGGCACAGAGTGAGAGAGAGAGAAACATCAATGATGAGAAAGAATCATCTATTAGCTGCCTCCGGCATGCCCCACACTGGGGATTGAGCCCACAATCCAGGCATTTGCCGTGACTGGAAATCGAACCGTGCTTCCTGGTTTGTAGGTAGACGCTCAACCACTGAGAATGCTGGCCAGGCTTCATCCTCTTTCTATTGATATTCTCTCCTTATAAAAAATTTGTTGTGTGCCAGGTTCTGAATTGCTTTCATTTCAAATTAAGTAGGTTAAAAGATTATTAAACAAACAAATCAACCTATATTTATGTTCTTTAAATATTCAAATTGTAACTTAATTTCCAGATAACATACTATTAAAAGTACAGGGTAGAGACTATGATTATGAACATTATTTGTGAATTGTCATTATATAGAACCATTGCTTACTGTGGGAGGTTCCACATATGTTTAAATTATTTTTCCAGTTCTAAATTCACAGCTATTCACAATTGGATGCATTTGATTCTTATTGAATATTAGAGGCCTGGTGCAGGAAATTTGTGCACTGGTAGGGCCCCGAGGCCTGGCCGGCAACCAGGGCCAATCAGGGCCTTCCTTCCCCCAGCTGCCAGCAGCTGGCCAGGGCCTTCCTTTGTTCCGCGCCGCCCCCTGGTGGTCAGTGCACGTCATAGCAAGCGGTCGAACTCCTGATCAGTCTAACTCCTGAGGGGACAATTTGCATATTAGCCTTTTATTATATAGGATATTTCTTAGGGTCTTTGATGCTTGAAATATTTTCCGTCTCTTAAGGCTCTAAGTTATAAGATTAGACTAAAAATTTCAGAATAAAAATGACCTTTTCCTTCAGATTTATTAAACTTGATCTGTTATATTAGTGTCACTGCTAGAGTTTTTGTTTTTTTATTAATTTTTTTTTAGAGAGGAAGGGAGAGAGAGAGAAAACATCAATGTGAGAGAGAAACATTGATCAGTTGCCTCCTTTATGCTCCTGGGCCAGGATCTTATCCACAAGCCAGGTATGTGCCCTGACCAGGAAACGAACCCATGACATTTTGGTGTATGGGACAACAGCTCCAACCAACTGAGCAACACCAGCCAGGGCTAGAATTTCTTTTTTTAAGAGAGGAAGGGAGAGGAAGAGAGAGATAGAAACATCAATTATGAGAGAGAATCATTGATAGGCCGCCTCCTGCACGCCCCGCACTGGGGATCGTGCCCACAATCTGGGCATATTCCCTTGATCAGAATCGAACCCAGGACTCTACAGTCCTTAGGCCAACGCTCTATCCACTGAGCCAAATCAGGTAGGGCTGCATGACCATTTTAAACCTAAGACAAAGTACCAACCCCACTGTCTCACTCTGAAAGTGCCCAAGCATGCTTCTAATGTTCCCTTATTTATAGCCAGGTTTGGGATTGACAGATCCTGAACTGCAGTTGCCTACTTTGTGCTCTGAGGCAAGGCTGGGTATATGTGAGTCCTATCATCAGTGACTTTGCCCCTTACCTTGAGTGGTTCACCCCTCACAGTCTCACTGTTAGAGAAATGAGTTGTGATTATGGTCTGTGAGTTAAATAGTGCCTGTGACAGTTTGTTAAGGGTCCTGGAGTCAGAAGATCTGGGTTTAAAATTTAACTCTGCTTCTTACTGACTGAATGGCCTTGAGCAATGTAGCATCTCTAAGCCTCGGCTTGCCCATCTATAAAGTGGAATTACCACCCACCTTCCAGGGTTCTTGTGAAGATCAGAAGCAAGTGGTATGTGTGAAACTCTGTATCCATCGTCATCATCATTTATTATTATTATTGTTTCAAACATGGCTTGAAAGGTACTATTAGCTTTTGTCTGAAGTACAGAGCACAATATGTACAAAACCAACATCAGAGAGGAGTGTGCAAGATATTCTAACTAGAACTCTTTTAGGTGGAAAAAGTTACCATTCTCAGAACATTTGCTCTGCTTGTTTCTCTCCAGGTTCCTGAGGTAGGCACCTCCCTTCCCCCTCTGTATTTTCCCTTTTGGTGGTGTAAGGTGGCAGTAGTATTACCTCCCCGATGCAGGAACTGCTAAGACCTTTAGAGTATAAAAGCCTCAGAGAAACTTTTCCACCAGTAGTTACTGCTCTGTTTGCCTTGCATCTAGAATGGGGCCATGGGGAAAGGAGTGTGTGGGTGCATGGGGGAGTGGTTCATTGAATACACTTGTAGTAGCTGAGAACCTTTTGAACAAGCCAGCCAATTGACACTTTCCCTCACTGGATTTATAGAAAATGTGTTGTTTACATTATATAGAGAGAATTTTGTCTAAAACAGTGGTTCTCAACCTTGGCTGCACATTAGAATCACCTGGGAATCTTTTTAAAATCCTGATTTCTGGGCCTCATCCTCCGGAAAGTTTGTTTCTTTGTTACTAATGTGGTGGCCCCACCCCATAACAAAGAAACAGAATTTCCGGAGGATGAGGCCCAGAAATCAGGATTTTAAAAAGATTCCCAGGTGATTCTAATGTGCAGCCAAAGTTGAGAGCCACTGGTCTAAAATGAGAAATAGGATCTTAATTGGGTATTTCATGGGATTTCCTTTGTATAAATTTCACTAGTTTCACTAGTCAGTCCAGCTAAAATGTGAATTCAGGAAAAATATGCTTTTCTGTATTGAATTTTTTCTTTGTACAAAGCTTTGACATGCTACCCAAATGTTTTTTAGCTGTAGACTACACAGGACCAGCTCTCTGTATCTTTTCTTTTTGAGTTTAGAAGCATCTCCACCAGTGGTTTTTATGATTGTGTTAATTCCAGTGTTCCTGTAAAATGCCAGGCTAGCTGGATTGAGTGGCTGATTTCTCTTTTATTTTTGTCTACCTCAGTTTCATTTGTCCTAGAAATGTGTTATCCTAACTAAGGTTCATTTTCAATTAAAACATGTAGTTCATATTAAAGAATTATAGACAACCCTATAACTTGGTTTTCTGTTTATTAGAAAGTGACAAATGCCCACCTCTTTACAAACATGTCATTTGTCTTAAGTAGAATTACTTTTCAGTGCAAATATAAGTAAAAGAATCAGATGGACTGTGATTCACACGTTCATTCCACAGATATCCATTGCACACTTTACTTTGTGCCATGTACTCTTTGAGGCACAGGATACAGTGATGAATAAGAATTCCTCCCTTTGTATATATGGATATAAGAGGACTGCAATCTTAGATAAGACAGAAGGCATCACTGAAGAGGTGTCATTTAAGTAAAGACCTGAAGGAGATGAAGGCGTAAACCCTGTTGATAATCAGGAAAAAGAGAACACCAGGCAGAGAGAACAGCTAGTGCAAAGTTCCTGAGGCAGGAGTGACCCTGACTGTTTGAAGAGCAGCAAGGACCTATTGTGGCTGAAACAGTGAGCCCAAGGGAGAGTACTAGGGATGAGGTCAGAAGGTAAAGAGGTCAGCCTCTGCAAGTAAGGTGAAGGGAGGCCAGCAGGACAGGATCTGCTGTCCTTGTGCAGGGAGCAGTGATGCCACGTCTCCCCTTGCTGGCTGGCTTCATTTCTTGGCAGCTCCAGGCCTCTGGTGTCATGGTGGGGCCTCACTGTTGGGAATCCTTGGCCCCGGGACAGGTGCTCTGTATTCCAGAAGTCCAGGGCAGCTACAGATCTCCCAGTTTTATGTTTTTAAGGGGACTATATTTTATCTGTCAACATTTTTAGTGGCTAAGTGACACCACCTTGTAAACGGGTAGGCAGACGTTAAATCTTTATGCCTTTATTTTTAAGAATAGTTTATTGATTTTTAGAGAGAGAGGAAGGGAAATAGAACCACTGACATGGGAGTGTAATATCAACCATTTTTTAAAAAATAAATTTTTATTGATTTCAGAGAGGAAGGGAGAGTGAGAAATAGAAACATCAGTGATGTGAAAGAATCATTGATTGGCTGCCTCCTGCACGTCCCCTACTGGGGATCGAGCCCGCAAGCCAAGCATGTGCCTTTGACCAGAATTGAACCTGGGACCCTTCAGTCCGCTGGCCAACGCTCTATCCACTAAGCCAAACCTATTAGGACTAACATCAGCCTTTGATCAACTGCCTCCTGAAGCCCTCCACCGGGGTTTGAATCTGCAAACCCGGACATGTGCCCTGATTAGGAATCGAACCCGCAGCCTTTAGGTACA